GAATGTACCATGATGCAACAACACCTGAAATTAAGAGGGAGAATTGGGTACATTCATGCAACATGTAACCCAAGCTTTAGAGGAGGAAGGGAGAGTGAGGCATACAAAGAACAACACAAAGAACTGCAGCAGCATCAAGAGATTTCTAGTCTCTGCTAAAACATTTTGGATTTTATTCTTCACTAAAAACTTTATCATAGAATCATAGAAAATTATGGTTGGAAGGGACCTCAGAAGGTTATCTAATCCAGCCCCCTGCTCAAAGCAGAACCATCCCCAACCAGATTATTCCAGCCAAGGCTTCGTCTAACCAGGTCTTAAAAACCTCCTGGATGGAGATTCCACCGCCTATCTAGGTAACCTGTTCCAGTGCTTTACTAGCCTCCTAATGAGAGAGTTTTTCCTAATATCTAACCTAAACTTCCCTTGCTGAAACTTGAGCCCATTGCTCCTTGTTCTGTTATCTGCCACCACTGAGAACAGTCCAGCTCCATCCTCTTTTGAACCCTGCTTCAGGTAGTTGAAGGCTGTTATTAACCCCCACCCCCTTTCTCCCCCCTCCCCCCAAGTCTTCTCTTCTCCAGACTAAATAAGCCCATTTCTTATGTGTCCCAGCCCTCCAACTTTTTTCATTGCCCTCCACTGGACTCTCTCCAATTTGTGTACATCCTTTCTGTAGTGGGGGGCCCAAAACTGGGCACAGTACTCCAGATATGGCCTCACCAGTGTCAAATAGAGGGGAATAACCACGTCCCTCAATCTGCTGGCATCACTCCTACTAATGCAGCCCGGTGTGCTCTTAGGCTTCTTTACAACAAGGACACACTGTTGGCTCATATTCAGGTTATTGTCTACTTTAACCACCAGATCCTTTTCTGCAGAGCTGCTACCCAGCCAATCAGCCCCCAGCCTGTACCAGTGCATGGTACTGTTCTGTCCTAAGTGCAGGAGTTTGCACTTCTCCTTATTGAACCTCATGAGCTTTCTTTTGCTCCAATCCTCTAATTTGTCTAGGTCACTCTGAATCCTGCCGCTACCCTGCAACATATTTACTGTCTCACCCAGCGTGGTATCGTCTGCAAACTTGCTGAGAGCGCGCACCATCCCATCTTGCAGGTCGTTGATGAAGATATTGAACAAAACTGGCCCCACGACTGACCTCTGGGGCACTCCACTTGATCCTAGCGGCCAACTAAACATTGAGCCATTGATCACTACACTTTGAACCCAACAGTTCAGCCAGTTTACTATCCACCTTACAGTCCTTTCATCCAACCCATACTTCCTTAGTTGTTTGCAAGACTGTTGTGGGAGACCATATCAAAAGCCTTGCTAAAGTCAAGGTATATCACAGAGCCAGTCATCTCATCATAGAAGGCTATCAGGTTGGTCAGGCATGACTTGCCCTTGGTGAATCCATGCTGACTGTTCCTAATCACCTTCTTCTCCTCCAAGTGCTTAGAAATGAATTATTTGAGGACCTGCTTCATGACTTTTCTGGGGACTGAAGTGAGGCTGACTGGTCTGTAGTTCCCTGGATCCTCCTTCTTCCGTTTCTTAAAGATGGGCACTATATTTGTCCTTTTCCAGTCATCCAGGACCTCTCCAAGTTGCCACAAGTTTTCAAAGATAATGGCCAGCAGCTCTGTAATCACATTGGCCAACTCCCTCAGCACCCTTGGGTGTGTTGCATTTGGCACCATGAACTTGTACATGTCCAGCTTTTCTAAATAGTCCCTAACCAGTTCTTTCACTGCTGTTGGCTGCTCTCCTTCCCAAACTGTGCTATCAGGTGCAGTAGTCAGGGACCTGATCCTGCCTGTGAAGATTGAGGTGAAAAGCCATTGAGCACTTTGGCCTTTCCCACATCATCTGTCAATAGTTTGCCTCCCCCATTCAGTAAGGGCCCCCACTTTCCCTGATCTTCTTGGTGCTGACATACTTGTAGAAACCCTTCCTGGTACCCTTCACATCCCTTGCTAGCTGCAACTCCAGTTCTTCACAGCTAGGGTGTCCAGACTCTGGAATAAGCTCCCTCCAGAGGTGGTACAATCGCCTACCCTAGAAATCTTCAAGAGGAGACTAGACGGTCACCTTGCTGGATTTTCTTGACCCCAGTTGTCTTTCCTGCTTGGTGTAAGGGGGCTGGACCTGATGATCTTCCAAGGTCCCTTCCAGCCTACATTCTATGAATTGCACTTTGGCCTTCCACATTTCATCCCTGCATGTCTGAGCAATCCTCTTATACTCTTATACTTATCCTCTTATACTTTCTGTATAGAAAAACCCATTTGGGGACAGATCTAGTCAGTGAGCTAAAATATCTTGAAAACTCCTTCCAAAGTGAATATAACAGATTATAGTAGGGTGAAATTTAGCAAAGAAGAACTTTCTACAAGTGAAAAGTATTTGCTGATGTAATAATTTTCCAAAGAAAGTGGTGGAAGCAGTAACATTTGGGTTTATAAAAAAATAAATACCAATAATATTAAACAAGATCCAGGAGAATTTACTGTAGTGACAAATTCTCTGGGGAGGACAAAATGACTTTGTACCTCTTTAATTTTGGTGATTTTGTGTGAATGATAGTACTGCTCAGCAGAGAGAAATTTGGATTGATTGTTCCTACTCTAGATAGCTGACTCTATTGATTGCTGGAGGAAAAGGCAGCCAATCTCTACATTTGTTCTTTCTGCTTCCTTACTGCTTTCTTGTGCTGAACCTGTGGTCCC